ATGGTTTGCTTATATTGACACTCATGCATTTTCGTGGGCTGTATAGAATTGCCATGTGAGTATAATATAAATTGATAAAACGACGAACAAAAATTTCACGATAATGTTTTACATTTATAATACATTTCAATTTATGTGATACATTATTGCATTCTACATCCGTCTCATACTCTCCGCACTTTAATGGTTCTAAATGAATCCCGTCCTTGTTATTTACCAGTTTGGTTTGTTAGTTTCGAAAAAATATCAGAATTATTATTTGATTATTATTTTCATTAATATTGTAGCTATTTTAGTAATTCAGTTTTGTCATTATGGTTTATATACAGTTACTTTTCTGCATTTAAGTTTGCTCTATGAAATTGCTATGCGAATATAGACTGATTGTAATATAATCTATGCAGATAACGACTCGATATTTTTTAGAGTAGTTAAAAAGAAGAATAGATAAAGATTCATTAGTAATGACTATCTCAAAAAATCGTCATTGTGTACACGAACGAATAGTAAACTGAATAGAAACTTACAACTTATTAATAAAGTTAATATCTATGTTGCAAAAACGATTAGACACTGAGTATTCGGATTTAAATTTAATGTTACAACACTGGAACATCTTGTCCAACTGAACTTGATAATTAACTGTGAATATCACGAATATCTTGGAGAATCATATTTATTAACATTAAAAATGAACACTGTACAAGTTGGACGCTATACTGTATCTGACAAGAATTAAGCTATTTCTAATTTGAGGATATGTATAATATCTAATCTATAATAAATATTTCCTGACTTGGAGAATAAATGTTTCTATCCGCGACTGCCCGCGTATCTTCATTAGAAAGCACCAGTTCAATCCAGCCAATTATATTCAAAAGATCAACCGTTTAACTACTCTGCTGTAGGCCATTCAAAAACGGCATCGACGAGACGGTTGATAAAAATATTCAACATTCTTGCGCTAACAAATTTAAAGAACAGTATGTTGCCTAAATAATTTAACTTCCTATTTATTTGTCAACAAAATTTCTATAAAATCATCGAGTGAAACTTTCAATTGAAAAAGAAAGGATTTGTTAGAAAATATATTAAGAAACTTCATTATGAAAATATCGAGAACTTATCGTTTATCACCACGATCTATTATATTTCTGTGATTTCCATCTATAGACTTGTACATAGAAAAAGTAAAACTTGCTACAAATATACATTTATCTAGGGCAAGGTTCAAGCCATCTTGGGCAAAAAAAAGCTGTACGAATCAAAAACACTGTGACAACTGCACTCCCAAAAAATTTTGAATTTTCGAAAAGTTTTTTCAAGTTGACTTACTTCTAGTGAAACTCTTTGGTAGCGGATCAATAGCAATATTTGAGTTATTAGAGAGAAGAGAGTAGGGGACATCAGATATAAAATTCTAGTTTTATTACTTTTCGAGTTCAACATTTATTACTCTTCGAGAGATATTAATAAAAATTTTTGTACAATATATTCGAACATATATATTTCTGTACAATATATCAGGTAGAAAGTTGTAATGAAAGAGCG